TTTTTTTTTTTAACTTTACCATATTATGAAAAATCCTTACCTGAGCAATTTCTTCAGGGGTTGTCACTGGTTTAGACTGTTTCTTAAGTTCAGCAATCACAGCATCAACAGCTAACATCACACCTGGGTCAAGAATAAATGCCATTACACTGCATAGGAATCCATGTCATGTTCAAGTTTACATTTACAGAAAGGTTTTCATGCCTTAATAGCCTATACACCGCTTCTGTTTCCAAATTACATAGAATCGGACAGCATATAGTGAAACAGAAACTTTAATAAAATCCCATAATGCTAAAATTATTTTGAAAATTGAACTAAAAAAAAGCAAGGTGTATAATTTGAAGAATCTCACCATCCAACTCATTTTGTGTAAGTCATTCCCAATCCAATCACGTTGCATGTTTCTACTTGGATCACCCAACACTTCCAAATCTCAAATTAATGACACAAAAAAGGACCAAAATAGACTAGTCCCTTACTAGCAACAAGGAATGTATTTCTCAAGGATAAAGAATTTCTTGTGGCTATGCCCCTACAGGTTTTAAATTATCCAAAATTCCCTCATTTAAGGTTATTATGAACAAAATGTTTGTTTTAGCAGTCAACAGCACCACAATATGGATTCATGAGAACTCCCATTTTGTTCAATTGAGACTAGTCCTAGCTTTCCTTCATTTTGAGAAATGTTACTTCATGAAAAAAAATCCAAAGCAAGGTGTGTAATAACAATGACTTTCTTTGGGACGTAATCTTTTTTTTTTTTTTAAAGATTTTTATTGGGGGAATCGGGGAAAGGGAACAGACAAGTTGCTGTCCTTTTTGTTCTTCAGTCTAGTTGTGGAAGATATCGCTTCACTGGCCCATGTTGGTATTATCATTGTGCTCTTCCAGGGTGAGGCAGTCACTTGCTGGCCATTGGACAGCCACTCATGGTGGTTCACGGCAGCTCATGCCTGCTGCCAGCCAGCCCTGCTGCAGCCTACACCGTCGCTGGCAACTCACGGCAGCCCAGCTCCAGGTCAAGCTGTTGTTCACCACCTTAGCTGTAGAGGGCGCAGCATCACTGGCCCTCATGTGGGATCCAAACTGGGGCCCTGCTGTTCAGAGCTGGTGTCCCAAGCCAACTCCTAACCAACGCGCCACTTGGCTGGCCTTGGGACGTAATCTTAACCTCAATAATATGTGCTAGTGATTCACAGTCAAACTGTTTTTCATGCAAGACATTTCAATGTTTGGACCTCAAACACTGAAACAGATGGGATGATGATGATACATCAGTACGCCTGGGAGGCCAATTCTGACAAAATAGTATCCCCTTTTGCTGAAAGTCTCCTAGTTTGGCCAATAACACACCATAGAGATACATGGCAATTCCATTTTCAAGAGAGGAAAACCAAGTTTTAGTACACAGCTAATAAAAATGACAGGATTTAAGTCTAGATCACCATCGGCTGGGGAGCAGATATTTAAAATGTAGTCTAGCTTCCCCAAACAATAAACAAAGTGCAGACCAATAACACAGCATGTGCTGTTAAGAGTTAAGAAAAAAGTGCTTAAAAAAAACGAAAACCTGTGACATCCTGGAATGACTTAGTTTCTTGTTAAACTCTACTTTTGAAATAATGAAAATAAAACATAAAACTATATAATCTCTCTGCTTTAATCCCCACAAGTTTGCTAATTTCCAGATACACAGAACATGCTGTATCTTCCAATACACTGTTGGCTTTCAGGGGGAGGGTTTAGAGGAGTGGGGGAGACTGACAACAGGAAATGTCTTAGTCACATTTCCCTCCTTATCCACATACATAGCCAGGCATTCAATCATTAGCTGCTGAAGGAATACTAAGTGTAAGAATTTTTGGAAAAATTGACTTTCTAGTATAATAGAAATAGACAGTTCAAAACATTGGGGCAACAATGAGAAGACATTCCTACCTCTCCTGATTTCCACTGGATTAGCACCTTTGCTAATCTTCTCAAAGCCTTCCTTGGCAATAGAGCGTGCCAGTACAGTAGCAGTTGTGGTGCCATCCCCAGCCTCTTCATTTGTATTATTGGCAACATCTTGAACAAGTTTAGCGCCAATATTTTTGTATTTATCTTTTAAGTCAATGGACTTCGCAACGGTCACACCATCTTTTGTTACTTTGGGGCTTCCCCAACTCTGTTCAATAATCACTGTTCTTCCCTACAATTTCAGAGTAAAAAAAAGTGACAGAAATCACACAAAGTACTAGTCAGCTTAAAACAGAACAAGCAGTTCTAACAATAGGACCATTACTTGAAAGCTTCAACATAAGTTGTCTTTTTTTAAAAAAATCGGATCTGCAGCAAATCTCAAGGGCAAGTTCATCAACGTTCTTAGTTTACAGAAAAAATGACCTCTCTATTGCAAAGTGCATAACTCTGGATGAGGAATTATGTGAGATAAAAATCCTATAGTCTAAAAGATGTCATTTTATGAAACAAGAACACAGATAAACCAATTCCAATGTGGTAGATTATAACGCAATTCCAGTTTATTCACATAATTTCTACTTAAGTTTTATCCAGTGCCTGCTATCTTTGAAATCAATGTGAAAACTTGCTTTTAAACCTGCTTTAAAATTTAGTTATTAAAATACTAACAGCAAAGCAAGCATAGGGCACTCTTCCAGGGTTGTCCCACGTTAAATCTCAAACATGGTGCAATAGTATAGGCAGCTTTTGGATTTGAAACCAAGATGCTATTTGGGAGGCAGCATGCAAATGCCACATTTTATACAGTTTGGATACCTTTGATGTCCGAATTGTGCACAACCTTCAAAGGCCTCTTCAAATTATTTATTACCCCTCAACTCAGCAATCTCTTCATGATAAATGAGACTTAAAATTTTAAATGTGCTTTGACACAGAAGATACAGCACAAAAATATTGGTAAAACTAGCACCTACAAGCACATACTTGAGGTATTAAGCTGCATTCTTCCCTCTATGCTTGGTACTAACTAGGAAAGGATCCAAAATTTAACTCAAACAGACAAGCAAGGTTAATTCTAACTTGAGTTTAAGGATCCACTGTGAGTTATGAATTACCACTGGATTATATCACACATTAAATAAAATCTCAGAAATTTTACAGAAGCAATTTTTAAGTTTTATGGCCATTTTATATAAGCAAAAGAAAAAAAAGGCTAACCCATAACGTGGAACTCACATGTAAATTGGGTTCTCTCAAAAAAGGATACTCACGTACTGTTCTATAGTTTAGTGTGACTATTTGCCGCCACCAGTAAAATATTATTCCCAAATTAATTTAAGAGTATTATGAATTACAACAATAAGAATACTGATACCTTTGGCCCCATAGTAACGGCTACAGCATCGGCTAAAAGGTCTACACCTTGAAGCATTAAGGCTCGGGCATCTGCACCAAACTTGACATCTTTGGCATACTCCCGAGTGAGATGAGGTGCCAGTGCCCTGGACACTGGCAAAACCCGGCGAAGGACTTCGTGTAATCGAAGCATTTCTGGGGAGGGGGAAAACAAAGTATATCATCAGTTCAATAGTAGCATTACCCGAGGCAGGTTACAACACCTGTGCAAAAGAACAAGATACATTAGATGAGAGCTGGGCCTCTGCTAGCCACTACACCTGGGCCATGGAACGCGCTACAGCTCCAGACCACCAGGTACTAGCCCCAACTTGAATGGGCTGCCCCCACGCCTGACCTATAGTACTAGCACAAGGCACACCCATCTTCTTGCCCCCGGCCACCTACCCCTGCTGCTCAACACAAGTTAATCTTTTACCACTAACATGGCCTCAGAGCAAACCCACTCCACTCCAAACGTGCCCCTGAGAAATGCCTGCAAAGAAAGGGGCAGGTCATAAACCCGGTAGTCGGTGGACTAAAAATATTCCTGACAATGCAAAAATCTGCTTAGTAAAATGTGTCTTCATGTATCCAGTCGGGGATACTGTATCTGAGCAGTCCGCTAGGCCGCGATGCTGGGGGCCCCACGTGTCTTTTCATCCAGACGCCCCAAGCAAGGTCAAGGGTGGAGGGGCCGAACCCCGCCGAGTCTGCGGGGCCAAAGACAGTCTCCACGCGGCTAGGACTACCCTCCCCGAAGCCATGCAGTCGGCCAGGAGTGGGCTGCATCGGAGGACCCATGTGAATACACTCCCTAAATTCCACATACACTCCTGAGCAAGCCCTCCCTCCTGCGCCCTGCCCGGGCGAGCTATCCATGCCGCACGTGACTCCCCGCATAGATCCGCGAGGCCTGGGCCAGCGGGCCACGGCCTCCGCACTGGCGGGAAGCTCTGGCTCTATCCTGCCGGCCCACTCAGGCAGGACCGCAGCGGGGCAAGGCCGGCTCCGGGTCCGAGGCGCCTGGGTGACATGGTGCAGGGCGGCCGCATACCTGCGGGGCAGCAGCAAGGCGTGCGAGCAGCAAGGCAGGCCGTCGGCGGCGAGTGAGGGACAGAGTGCAGGGCGCACACGGCAATGAGCTTGTGTCCCCTCCCTCCGCCGCTCCCCCGCCCGGCGGCACAGCGTGTGCGGGCGCCGCCCACCTCTTTCCCAGGCCCCGGCCCGGCAATCTGCACGCGCCGCGCGCCAGCCCCGCCCCTCCCTACCCGCGCCGGGCCGGGCCAGCGGGCTCAGCCCTCTCCGGCCGGCTTAAGCTAGTTCCCGGGCTGCGCTCGGTTCCAGAACTTTCCGGGGAGAGACGCTGTCTCTGTGGGTCAAGGGGCAAATCACGTCATTTCCGGCAGGAGGCGAAGGGCTAGTACTTTCACCTCGGCAGGCGGCCTAGAAAAGCCTAGAAAGAGAGCCTCTTTTCTTCCGTCTCCCGACCGTTGCGTCAGTGGCCTGCGCAGAGACCCCGGGGACGAATCGCGGCGCCCGTGGCGGTGGCCGCCTTCTTTTAAGGGGAGTGGCGAGTGGCTGGGGCGAGCGCGCCTGCGCGTTGGGCAGCCTTTTCTAAAGTTCACGTGTTTGGGAGACTCGCCTGCAGCTCTCTCCTTGCGGCCGCGGTGCGAGAGTACAGTACGAACTGGTGCTGCGGGAGTCATGGTGAGTCCCGCGTGGGCTGGAGGCCGGCGGGCCCGGGTGGGTTGGCCTGAGGCCGTTCTCGTTGGGCCTAGCAGGAGGGGTAGGGGTCACTCAGGGACCAGTATCCGCTCGGACCCTGGAGAAGCCAGGTCCTGCCGACCTTTTCTTCCTCTGCCGAGGGCTCTGCACACGCGTGTGCGGCGGGAATGTAGGCAAGGGGGCGGGAACACAAACGCACGCGCGGCGGCCGCCCCGCTGCTCCTGCAGGGCCTTTGTAGGTGTGTAATGTCGTAAAGAAAGCATGGCATTAGGCGGAGAGATTGATTTCAGTGTGTGCTGAACGTTTTCAGAAAAACCTAAGGAGGGAAAATAGGTGACCTTGGAATAAGCTAAGGTTGCCTTTAAAGCTCGTCCGGCTGCTGAGCAGAGGACGACCCTTAACACACATAGGGAATTGGAAATGAACTCGGAATATAGAGCAGAGCGTTCAAACGGGTTTCATGAACGAATAATTGAGTTGGACGTTATCTTTGGAAAGCCACATGTGGTGTTTGATAGGAAAATTTACGATGGCATTGCCCGTTCAGAATTACATTGTTTTTGTTTCAAATCTAACATTTCTCTCTCTACAGGCAGGACAGGCATTTAGAAAGTTTCTCCCCCTCTTTGACCGAGTATTAGTTGAAAGGAGTGCTGTGGAAACTGTAACCAAAGGAGGCATTATGCTTCCAGAAAAATCTCAAGGAAAAGTGTTGCAAGCAACAGTAGTAGCTGTTGGATCCGGCTCTAAAGGAAAGGTAAATGGGGCCTGAAATGAACTGTTGTTTATGTGAAATGGACTGAAAAAAGAACTCCTTGGTTATTACTAAAAATAGCTTTTTAAGTAGCTTGTTTTATTTTCACAATAATTTCCTAGTTCAGTCACATCTCATGTGTCTCTCTTTAATGAAAATGATTGTAAAGTAAAATTGCTTATTTTATATGATAGAGAATTTGAGAGTGTTAAAACCAATAGCCATTTGGTAGCCTAACACGACCAATGTTTTCTTCAGATTCTGAATTTTTGATAAAACAATTTATGTTTGAAGATAATTGTGGGGGCTTTTAAGACTTGAGGGGAAATTTCAACTCTTGGTCTAACCTCTAACACTGAGGTTGCCCTAATCTTTTAATTACTTAAACCTTATTTGGCATACCTATGAAAGGAACTGGTTGGACTACCTATTTTCCAGATATTCTCCAATTAATTGGTTAGATCTCAGACCTCAAAGTGTCAGCCAGAATGCACAATAAATGCTGCCATTGGGGTCAAATATGTTAATTGCTCCAGGTGTTTCAGAGAAGATTCTAGCAAGGAGCTATCTTGGAGTCAGGAATAGGAAGCTTTTGGGGAGTGGGCACTGTGCTGCAGTCCCCCTCCCCATATCTGTATTTTGGAGGAAAGGAAATTGAATCTCAAAAGAAGTATGTTTTAAATTCAGGAAATTAAAAAAATTTTGTATGCTGAAGTTAACCATGACCATGTACACATGGTTTTAAAAACTAGTTTATTTCACACAGTCCATAGGTTAAGTTAATATTTAACCATTAAAAAATTAGCTTAACTTGTCTTAAGTTAGCTTTCCCAGTGTAACTCCTTGAACTTTTACACTGAAACCAGGTTTTAGTTTAAGCCACTGTGTAGGCATTATGTCAAAATGTAAGTCTACAGTGATATTTTTGAGTTAAAAGCTACGGTTGTATGAATTGTATTCCACTCTCAAGTCCTTTTTTAACAGTTGATTTGAGTAAGTACATTTGATTAATAGAAGTTAGCTATAAATATTTGGTGAACTAGATGTCTTTGCTAATAAATATTCTTAATTTTTTAAGGGCGGAGAGATTCAACCAGTTAGTGTGAAAGTTGGAGATAAAGTTCTTCTTCCAGAATATGGAGGCACCAAAGTAGTTATAGAGGACAAGGTGTGTGAACTTCATAATTTTAAAAAGAAGTGAAGTATTTGCTGTTTTTTTTTTTTCTTAACTAATGGTTTCTCTATTTGCAGGATTATTTCTTATTTAGGGATGGTGACATCCTTGGAAAGTATGTAGACTGAAATAAATCACTATTGACATGGCATCACGTGAAGCTGCCCATTCCACTGAAGTTCTGAAATCTCATCATGTAAATAATTTCCATGTCTCTCTTTTGTAATAAAGTAATGATATCCAAAGTAATGACATCCAGCGTCTCTTAAAATTTAGTTCCACTGTACTGATATAAACATTTCCAAATAAAAATATAACAATAAATCGTTAATTTTCGTTTAGTGATTTAAGATGGTTTTAGGGTTTTCTAGTTTATGCTTTTTTGCTTTTTCTCAAGTAACCTGCAGCAAATTCTGGGAAACAAGGCTTTCAATTTTCATTGAATGTAGCTTTACCTCATAGGTAATTGATGCTGATACAAAGCCATGAATTTACACTTACTTTTTCTTTTGTTTGAAAAGCAACAAGCATTTATTTGGGATCCAAAAGAATAGCTGTAGCTGTTGAAGAAGCTCTTGACATAAGGAACACCCAAACCTGTAGAGAATTTTATAAGTGTTTTTATAAGAATCAAACTGACGACATATACCAGGGAGCAAGATCTCAAGTGTTATCCAAAAGGTCAGTTTGCAGATTTTTTTAGGCATTTGAGTTTAAGGGGGGGAGACTGAGGAAGATTACTTTAAGGTGGGAGAAAGCCAGGTTTGGCTTACAAGATAAGTTAAGCGGGTGCTCTCTTGAGGGTGGGTCCACTTTAGAAGGAGCGGTCTGAAAAGAGGCATTTCAAAGAGTGTTAACCTACCTAGATGCACAGGAACCCTGGACTGGCTTGTTTAAAGATAAACCTTTTACTAAACAAGGTATATGCCTCAGGCATGACTACCCACCATGACCTATTCTAAAGAATTTTCAGGCTGGTAGTCATGTTTGCTTTCTTGATAGCTTTGCAAACAGTTGTTTGGAATGCAGTGCTGCTTTAGGCCCAGTACAAAGGTTATTTTGCCCAGTTTTAACATGCCAAAGTTTTGAGGAGTAAGACTTCCAAAGCAATTTCACTGAGATGGCAGTTCCAACTTCAAAAAGTAGCTATGTTTGTGTTACTTTTCACAATGTTACAGTCCAATGCAAGTTGGTGGGAAGGGCATTGTTCACACAATCACTTAGGGTCCCAGACTCCAACTTGTAGCCCCACTGTCCTCTGCGCTCTTGGAGTGCACTGCACAGAGAATCAGGAAGTGTTTATGGTCCAGGTCTGGAGATGGAACACTTTATTCCTCACTAGTGTTGATCAGAAAATTCTAGACTGATTGGTTTAAAATTCCACCTCTGGGAGGCTAAACCATGAAAACATCTCAAAAGCTACACAGTTTTAAAAAAGCAACATTTTAACAATATATAACAAGCTTATTTTGAACTAAATTCATTTGTGGAATCTAGTGTCAAATCTTAAGATTTATATAACTTGGCAAAAAAATCGAAGGCAAGATACAGCTAACATTGGCTGCGTGCCTTCTGTATGCCAGGATAATTATAGCTAATGTGCATTTTCTAGGTAGTGGCTACTGTTGTAGTTTGTATGTATGTCAGTTGGTTTAATCTTCCCACAACCCTATCAGCTAGGGAACTAAGTCTCATCTTGCAGAAGATGAAGGTAAGACAGAGCAGTTTAGTAATGTCCACTTAGTAGAAAAGGGGGCAAAGCCAGGATTCGGAATTATATCCACTTGCAGATGCTGCTGTCTAAAACTTCATCCTTTAGGGCCTCTGCTATTTTGTCAGAAAATCCTAAGCACGTGATAACACATTTCAACCCTGGAGGTAACCACTGTGGCATGGGGGGGGGGGGGGGGGGGGGGGGAGGATGTCTGGCAATTACTAGGTATCTAGTGTAGCTTGTTGGATTTAACAAATAGAAAACAGTAACAGAACTGAATAATTAACATTCAAACCCAGACCAACCTACTCCAGAGTTGATTACCAACCCTTAAGAGCAGTCACTTAGCTAGGAGCTATTTCTGTCTTGGTGGTAAAATTTAAATTTATAAACTAGTCTGATCATGCCTTAAAAGTTGTGTCACATTTATTTTGTGGAATTGAAGTCTAAATGAGGTTGTAAATAGCATGGAATAATGGTCTCAACTTTTGATAATAACCCATTGGTCAAGTAGTATGTGTGTGCGTTTGCATGTATGTATGTGTTTGTGGCATTGACTGTGCTAAGGCTTAATTATCATTTAGTTACAAGAATTAGGATTAAAAGCTCTATTTTTACAGCACCCAACTGGGTCATTAATTTCCTACTGTGCCCCAGGCACAGCTGAAGACTGTTTTGCAGGTCCTAAACTTGTAAGCACAGATTTCCCTCTGTTTTACTGGTGAGAAAACTGTCAGGGACGAGATGAGGAAACTTGTTCAAGGCTACAGTGGCTGGTAAATTGCAGAGTTACGAATCTAGTCCAAAGGCCAGGGCTTTCCCGTTAACCTATTCTTTTTTCCAAAGACGCAAGTAAATGAGTTTTGAGATCTAAGGTGACAGCTTCCAAACTTTGGTTCATCCTTAGAATTACCTGGTGTGCTTAATCTTTCAGAGCTCCATCCATAACAAATCAGAAGGATGGGAGAATTTTTTTACTTTGCATCACAGAAGTAGTCCTGCAATGCTTGTCTAGCAGAGATAATCTTAGATTATATGGGGAGTTAACAGGGAAAAGAATTATGGCATGAGAATAAGGCCAAAAACAAGGGCATTAGGTGTAGGACAATGTTTCAGAACGTATGTTGTCATTTACCTTTTGTTTAACAAAAATAATGGAGAAAGTAAACTAAGTAAAATTCTAACTAGAATTTTCATGATAATACCATTTTTTATGTAAGGTGATCAAATTTATTTAAGTTCCTTATAAACTAGTCTGATAGTGTCTTAAAAGTCGTGTCCTGTATTTATCTTGTAGAATCGAAGTCTAAATGAAGTTGTAAATAGCATGGAATAATGGTCTCAACTCAATTTTGAGGACTTGCCACGCACTTTTTCTAGGCACTTAACATGTCATCTTACCAAATGGTCATTATAGCAGCCCTGTGAGGCAGATACTCCTTACCTCATAGGTGAAAGATGCAGAGAAGTAGAGTAACTTGCTCAAGTGACAGAAAATGTAAGTCATAGGTTGGAATTGAACTCAGGTTTGTCTGACTTCAAATTCTGCCTTCCTCTATTCCACACAAAAAATTTGAGAAATTGAGAATAAAATTAAAATTACCAGGGAGTTATGTGTTCTACATTACCATTAAGATTTTATTTCCTTCTATTGTTCCAGAAAGTGTATGTGGTACAAAAATTCTTATTTTAAAAATTGGGAGTATAGGATTTTTTTTCATTTTTATTTTATTGTGGTAAGAACATTTAATATGAAATCTACCCTTAATAGATTTTTAATTGTACAATACAATATTGTTAACTACAGGCACATTTTCTATATCCGTTCATCCATGAGGTTAACATTTAGGTTGTTGCCATATCTTGGTTATTGTGAATTGGACATTTAGATTTTTTTCCACATTTTTGTCATGGTGAAGGGTGCTGCAATTAACAGCAGGTTCTGGTTTCAATTCTTTTGGATAAATACCCAGAAGTGGGATTGCTTGCTAGAACTAGGATAGTTCTATTTGTAATTTTTTGAGGGACCTCCATATTTTTCGTAATGGCCCACACCATTTTGCATTCTGACCAACATGGATCATAAGTTTTTATATATTAGAGGTACTAACATCA